TGCTTCTTGCTGTCGTACTTGTAGATGGGGTATAAGAGTTTCGTTGGCTGGTACCCGTATAAGATGTTTGACTCGCACTGTAAGCCCTTCTAGCTGTTGTACTTGTATATGAGTTAAAAGAGTTTCGTTGGCTGGTACTGGTATCAGATGTTTGACTGGCACTGTAAGCGTATCTTGCTGCAGCTGTATATGGGTTATAAGAGCTTGTTTGGTTGGTACTACTATAAGAAGTATGATTGGCATTGGATGTTGAATATGTGATTACGTATTCTGGATATACTTGATGGTTATCAAATACCACAAATATACTTGGATTACTTGTGTTGTCGACGCAAGAATCATACATCCCCTTTGTTTTATCTGAAGAATTTTTATACGGTGGTCTGCGCATATCACGGGTCCCATTGGTGTAACTTCCGACAAGGACTCGTGCTACAAACATCTTCTTTACATTGTAGCCATCAGCCTCTGCATAGGAATCAGAATATTTCGATGTGCTTGCAAAATAGGCACCTTGACCATAGACTGCACCAACCCGAGTTCCACTCAAACGAAAATCAAAATTATCTCGACAAATATCTTCAACTTTTTCAGGTTTAGTTCCATGAAACAGTAGACGCTCATCCACTGGTTTGCTGGGATTCTTTTTCATCATAACTTCCTTTTGCCTTTTGAATATAAGGAAAAAAATATATTATTTCGGGCATGGAAAATTGAATCTATAGAGCTGCTAACTATTTGGATTATTTTCATCTGGTGATGGAAGTGGCAATGTAAAACATTGGTGCTTGCCCATGGTGTTTGGTGTAGTCAGGTTCATATCAAATGTTAGTTTACTATTTAGCATTCAATAATGAAAGTGTTATAGATTGTCACATTATATAATTAAAAACATAAACTAGTGGTTCTTGTGGAAATTGTCTGATAAATCATGTATTAGTGAAATGGGGTACATTATTGAAAGGCATCGTAAAATTGAAAGTTTTAAATTATCATTATTATTATTATTATTATTATTATTATTATTAGTATTATCATTATTAATATCATTATATTATCATTATTATTATAAGTATTAAATCTTACTACTGTATTTGTTTTGAATCTTGATGTCTGTAGTGCCAATTTGACTAAAAATCTCAATTAATGGAGGCAATACTACCTCCAGCCATCTTTTGAGCCTTGGGGGTGGAAATTAAGGTCCAGTGAATGGCAGATCAAAAGCTTTCCAAGAAAGCAATATTTCTTGGTTATGAGTAAGAAATATAAATCTATATTAAAAATTATTGTACCGTGAATATAAATCCCAGCAGGTCTCGTTTTGAACACGTTCCAGTTTTGTAATATCTACTCCTGAAAGTGTAGTCTGAAACAATTTCTGTATTTTCTTGTATTCTTCACTGTGTCTGTTCTTCGATACACTTACAAGTAGATGTGACTTTCCACGAAGGTTCATATTCCAGGTTCTTGGATATTTATTTTTATTTAGCCTGAAGGTAAGTAAACAAATCTCAAATTTTAGAAAAATGCAAGTACAATATAAAAAATATTATCTCGACATCATCGTCATTGTCGTCATTGCCAGCATTCAATAAATATATGTTAGCAGGGCCTTCGGAGCCCTACTGCCCTGGGGGCCTGGGTTGTGTCAGGCCCAACTGGCGGCATTTTAAACATTTTAAGCGCATTTTGATAAGGGCCAACATGGCTTGTTTCGGAACTGTGGTACATTTGAACAGGGCCTGTGCTCCCGGCTAAAAGAGCAAACTAATATTCTAAAGCCTTTCAGGGCCAGAGCTCAAAACAACGGCAGCGGAAGCTGGGGGGGGGGGCTAGGGAGCCACTGGCCCCTCAAATTTTTCTGCCCCCCCCCCTACTTTTGTGACTGCTGGGTCATTCCATGTCAAATCAACCAGATTTCAAAAAAGTTCCAGTATGACGCTCTCAGATTTTGATGAAACTCCATAAAAATGATCCACTATGTGGATCATTTTAGTGTTATAGGTTTTGTAGTTTCTGAGATATTGACTCCTCAAAAAAGGGGCGTGGCCCTTCAAGTTGCGCAAACACAATTTCCTCCAACTTTGGAAGCTTATAACTCTGGATTGGTATAGCTATCAAGGTCAAACTTGGTATTCTAACTTATACTCTACCATATTACACAAACATGGCATCAGATTAACTGTTATCCCTTCTTTTTTTAAGTTATCTGCACTCAAAATAGCCACTTTGTTTAACGATGCAATTTTTTTGTGATTTTCAATGTCACCCTGTGTCCATATGAGTGAGTGTATACATCTTAAATTACAGTATATTATCTATGGGTAGTTGTCTCTAGCCACAAGCAAGCACAGGCTGATCAAATGAATTAAAATGGAATGGCATCCATTCAAATTTGGGACCAGCCCTAAAAAAGTGAAAAAAGCCTATGTTTCCCATTAACGGTTCGTCATGTGGACAGTTAAAATCTTGTAAAAGCGGTACTTTTTTAAAATCTTGTATATGTTGCATTTCACTTTAATTTAGACATTGATAATAATTATCGTTAACTTTCTTGACATCTGCTATGGTGCTGTCTCTTATACACATCTAGATGTGTATAAGAGACAGCTAATATCTTTGGAAGTATAGCGCCTATAAGCTTCAGATTTTGTGGTGTAGGACATCTTTTACTTCTGATTCCAAATCTGCAATCAGAAAAGTTGTAGCATGTACCATTGTGGAATAGCAATGGTCTAAAAATGGGACAAAACCTGTCTGGACCAACTTTATGCATTTTTGGAGGGCTGTATCTGGGGAAAATAAGCTTAGTTAAGTTTAGCTCTAACTCAAAAAGTAAATCTTTTTTAATCTCCAAATTTTTAGGAATCCTAACCCACCAGTATTACTTCTTATATACACAGTAATAAACTTAACTAAACAGTTAATCTGATAGGGATAACAGTTAATCTGATGCCATATTTGTGTAATATGGTGGAATGGAAGTTAGAATACCAAGTTTGACCTTGATAGCTATTACCAATCCAGAGTTATAAGCTTCCAAATTTGGAGGAAATTGTGTTTGCGCATCTTGAAGGGCAACACCCCTTTTTTGAGGAGTCAATATCTCGGAAACTACATATCCAGTAGGGCTAATCTTTTGTGTATGTTGACTTTTCACATAGTGGATAATTTTTAAGAAGTTTAACTGATTGGCTTACAGTATACCATCAAACTATTACATAATAATAATCAAAAAAGATGAAGAAAATGGACACTCTATCCTGTCAGGGAATATCTTTTCAAGGATACCCCTTGCATGATGAATAATATATTGTGATCATGGAAGCAATCTCGACTTCGACTTTATAAACTACTATTTAAAATACAACAATTATGAAGTCATATTACAGTAGAATGATGCCTATAAAATAAATAATACAATTCACCAAACTTCGTCAAGTAGCCGTAGTTTCCAGGGGGCTTCATCCCCTGCACGTCCACCAGCGGCCCTTTTCGGCCCCCTGGTCCCCGGACTAGATGCTCGCTTCGCTCATATACAGGACATATTACCTTATGAAATGCCCCCTTCCCCACTTTCAAAAACATTCCGCCACCATTGGCTCAAAACTACTGTACAAGGTAATTAATATTCATGAATGCTTTCCATAGTTCCATAGTCCAAGGTAGGCCTACAGTATCACCCTGATGGATGGCAGATGGCTTGTCAATACTTATCCTAAATCAAATGTTGTCATTGATGCCACATCACAATCACAACCAAAATTCAACTGAATTCATTAATATATTCACTCAGTAACCAACACAGGAAACTACTTATGCCTACAGTACTCCGTATAGCTTTTATATAGTATATATGCTGAAAATAAAACACCAAAAATAGAACATACTACATTATTAATTTTTCACTTACCAAGGTTTTTCTTCTCTGTATTGCTTAACATCAGCCCATGTTATGTGCCTAGATGGTCTCCGACAAACATTTTTCTGGGTATGATATCGATCATTGGTCTGGATCATAGAGGCAAAGTTCAAAGTGTAGTGTTGACTTCCTGCCCTAAACTTGACAGTCTGACTACAATTCCTGTTTTTGTAATCGTCATACAACGTTTCAAAATCCGAGCTTTCTTTGTCAGACCTTGCATTCTGCTTGCTATTCTAAAATGAAAGTAAGGTTGTGAAATTTGTTGGAAATTGACACATAAGTGAAAATTGCTCAAATAATTCAACTGTAAATGAGGGCACATGCTGAATATTGGAATATATGTATGAACCAGTTATTTTCTTTGACTAATATCATTGGGTTTCCATATAGTGATAGATAAGTAAATTCATAAATTGAAACCAATGAATGAATACGTACTTGCGACGCTTTGATCTACTACCAGATGAAGCTCTACTGGTAGTAGATCGAAATGTCGCAAAGTATGTATTCATTCATTGGCTTCAACTCATGAATTTACCAAGTATTGTAGTACCACACTTAGACTAGGTTCCAGTCCCTATTCTGTCTTAATCAGTGAAAACATACCTATTTTGGCACCAATGGCGTTCCATATAATACTTATTTGCATCCCGTTCCATACTATACTTTTTTGGGGATTAATTCCCATCCAAATTCAACAACATAACAAAAACAAATGCTGGTAGTGCTCTTCAAAATTATTTAATACCACAAAGTCAATAAATTAGAGACTTTGTGTACCTACCTGTTCTGCATATTCAATCCAGGTACCACATTCATCCTTCCAATACCATGACCAGTGAGGGATAAAGTGGGAGTCAAAAAAATCAGGTTCACCTTTTATTTCCAACCGCCGTATGTCCATTTTCAATGAAGAACAAATATTGCTAATATACATGTCATCATAATAGATAAGCATACAACCCCTTTGCAAAAGAAATATTGATATCAAATAATCATTTTGACATGCAGAGCTATCTAGTAGCCAAGACAAATTACTTGTTCGTTTTAACTTATTCTACGCTAAAATATCATGAGGCAGTCAAAATGTAGTTCTATGGATTTTGATTGTCTAACATCAAATATTAGATCAACAGTTTCAAGCATCATCTGTATCCAACAACTTACCATGTATCAAAAACCAAACAGACTGGTGGATTAACTTTCATGTCACAGTAATCTTTTTCCATATCATTATTATTTAAAGAATTGACACTCTCCCATAATCCATTATTTTTAACCTGCCATTGGTAGGGAAGATCACAGTGATGCCTTTGGCACAAACTACCACTGGTGCAGCCTCCACGTAGATTTTCTTTGCAAATTTCTTCCTTTTTAGATTGCAATGCAACTGTCTGTGGATTACTGGAGTCAAGAAAGCGTCTTAACTGTATAGTTTTAGCCAGAGGTTGTGGAAAGAGTGGATGGTCTTCTTTCTTATCTTGCATTTTCACTGTCTGTGGATTATTAAAGTGCTTTGATCGTGTTTGAGATTGGGCCGGAAGTTGTGGCATCACTACATGACATTTAGAAGTTGAAGTTGTCTGGACTGTCGCTTTTGCTTCATGCTTTGTTGTAATGTTTGGATTTACTTTGCAAACTTTGTTTTTCTTTTCTTGCATTGTCACTGTTTCTGAAAGATCCAACTCAAGGAAGTCATTTGATTGTGTTTGAGAATTGGCTGGACGTTGGTCTATCACTACATGGCATTTAGAAGGTATAGTTGTCTGCATCACCGCTTTTGGTTCATGCTTTGTTTTAATGAGTGGATTGTCTTTGCAAACTTCATTTTTCTTATCTTGCATTATCATTGTTTGTGAAAAACACAAGTCAAGCAAGTCATTTGATTGTGTTATAGAATTGGCTGAAAGTTGTGGCATCACTACATGGCATTTAGAAGGTGAAGTTGTCTGCATTACCACTGGTTCATGCTTTGTTGTAATGTGTGGATTGTCTTTGTGAACTTCTGTTTTCTTACCTTGCATTGTCACTGTTTGTGAAAAATATTTAAAGTCAAGCAAGTCATTTGATGGTGTTTGAGCTTTGGCTGGAAGTTGTGGGGTTACTACATGATGTTTAAAAGGTAAAGTTGTCTGCACTTTTACTTTTGGTTCATGCTTTGTTGTAAAGTGTGGATTGTCCTTGTAAACTTCTTTTTTCTTATCTTGCATTGCCATTGTTTGTGGATTATTGAACCTGAGCAAGCCATTTGATTGTGTTTGGGATTTGGCCATCGTCTCATAGGTATCTGAACTGCAACTTTGCTCCTCATCACTCTCTTCACTATCACTGTCTTTACCATCACTCTCAAAAACCTCAAGGTCTGATCGATAATATCCTTCATTTCGCTCTTTAATCAAGCGAATAAGATCATCAGAGGGGTACTCAAGATTAAAGCGCTTCAGTAGTCGCAGGTTGGAAGCTTCCGCATAGACATCGTGTGCAAACTTACATCGTGGCCCGTACATGCACTTTTTCATAACAAAGTTTCTGAAAAGCATAGACATGTGTATTGATATTACATATACACTGCATTAACAGAAGAAATTTTAGGGTGCTAAACTTTATTCTCATGGCATTTCATTAAACCTTTCTACTGACTGAATATTGTTGCCAAACTTTTAGGTATCTGAACTTTTAGATCATCTTTTTATATTGATACATTACTATAGTACTTCTAGTTGATTAAACTACAGTATTTGTTCTTGAAAATTGGATATGAAAACAATAGCATACCCATAAACTAGTTTAAAATATATTTAAAAAATAAAAATAAATAGAAATCAGAGACCCTTACTTGCATACGTGTAGAAACCTACAGGACTGTTTCTTGCAACCGTGTTGGCTTCGGTATAATCCGCAGAATTCAGGAACCGTAAAATGTGGCCAGGCCAACCGGAAAAGAATCTTCAAACACTTATGTTGCAGAAAGGCAATGTCAAATTGCTTTAAAACTTGCTTGTTGTGATCTGATCTAAATTCATGACTTTTTCTACAGTTCACACCAAACCAGCAGCAAGAACCTATTTTAGTAACAGAAAAATCAAGATAAAACTTGAAGCTTGTGTATTGTGAGGGCTTTGGAGAACACTGTGTAATATTTTAAGAAGCTTTCTGTGAAAAATATGAACCCTGTTGTCTTTCAGATCAATACGAATGAATATTTCAGAACCAAGTAAACAGTATACAGGAAACCTCTAGGTTACTAAAAAGAAATATCAACTTCCTCATACATCTTATTATTCCCTTTAGAATTAATGTATAGAAATTTCATTATCACATCATTATCTTTATCATTTCCATTAATAGCATCATGAATCTCATCATCAGGATTACACAGTATGGAATGAAATGGATTGGATTTATTCACAAGACAACCTACAAAAGTTTTGAACATATATTTCCAGTAGGGTACTTCTAATGGTGATTGGGCAATACACCGGGAGACAATTCTAAACTGTTTTCTGAGAGTGTACTGCTTTCTTTAATGTGCACATGGGCAACATTGCACATGGGACCAACGTCTTTAACATCTTTTCCGAAAGACAGTGCCTTTTATACTTGCATTTTAGCCCTCCAGCTGGGATTCTATTTAAATGCCTTAACCAAACAAGGCCATTGAGGCTTTGTTGGAAATTGAAATCCGACTAAAGTGTAATTCTTCACATTCATGCATATGCGTAGTTAGACAGCACTAGTCAAATAACAGATATCAATACGATATGCCCTCTTCTTATAAGGATTTGATGACAACACAAGAT